ACAACTCAACAAAAACATTCAAAAACCCTAACAGATAACAGAATGCAGGAATATAAAGTCAATAAATAAGTAAAAAGAAATTTCAATTCTAATAACATTTTTTAAATGCAAATTACTATGGTCTGAATGTTTGTGTGCCCCTCCATCCCCACGCCCCAAAATTCATATGTTGAAACCTAATGCCCAAGGTGAAGGTATTAGGAAGTAGGGCCTTTGTGATATGATTAGGCCATTAAGGCAGAACCCCTCATGAATGGGATTAGTGCCCCAGAGAGCTAGGATACAAGAAGTCTGTGACCAAAAGAGGCCCCTCGCGTGACTATGCCCTGAGACTCAGACTTTAGAACTCCAGAAACATGAGAAATAAATTTCTGTTGTTTGTAAGGTAATCAGTCTAGTATTTGGTTATATAGCAGCCTGAATGGGACTGAGACACACATTAAATGGAGAACTTTTGCATCTATCAAAATGGCAACAATTTCTTTCTATATGTCTGTTTTATATGCTCTTTATTACATATTGCCAGTTTTCCAGAGAACAGGACAGAGGCTTTACTAACAAGAGGGAGGCCACTAGGCACTTCACACACACATGAATTTATTGAACTTTTATTTTTATTTTTTTTAAATCCTCACCTGAGGATATTTTTCTATTTATTTTCCGACAGAAGAAGAGGGGAAGAGGGGAAGAGAGAGAGAGAGAGAGAGAGAGAGAGAGAGAGAGAAACATCGACTGGCTGCTGCCTCTCGCACGACCCCAACCAGGGCCAGGGACGAAACCCCAACCGAAGTACATACCCTTGGCAGGAATCTGACCCGCAACTCATTGGTCCATGGGCCGATGCTCTACCGCTGAGCCAAACCAGCCAGAGCCACTTACTGAACTTTGAAGTTCATGCCATTCAGAACACCCTTTAAGCCCTGGCCAGTTTGGCTCAAAGATTAGAATGTTGGCCCCATGAACCAAAGAGTTGCAGGTTCGATTCTGGTCAGGGGCACATACCTCAGTTGCACTTTGGTCCCTGGCCCTGGTCCGGGTCGTGCAGGAGGCAGCTAATCTATGTGTCTCTCTCACACTGATATTTCTCTCTCTCTCCTTCCCTCCCACTCTATCTGAAGATAAATGGAAAAGTATCCTCAGATGAGGATTTAAAATAAAAAAAGAACCCCCTTTAAAAATACTCTGCAAGTTCTCGCATCAATGTTTCTATCTCTCTCTCTCAAAAAAAAAATCAATAAAAATATTTTTAAAAAAAATTCCCATTAACCTCCATGACAGCCAAGGACAGGTGTGGCAACTTGTACAGACACTGCCCATAGGATTATAAATTGGGACAGTCTTCCTGGAAAATGTTGATCATATATACAGATGCTCTTCAACCTCTAATGGGCTACCTTCTAATAAACCCATCATAAGGTGAAAATATCGTAAACTGAAAATGCATATAACCCACGGAACAACTTAGCTTTGCATAGATGATTTCTACTAAATGCATGTTGCTTTTGCACCATCCTAAAGTTGAAAGAAATCAATCTTAAATCAGGAACTGTCTTTATAGCCCTATAGATCCTTCATTATATATAACCCTGATGCTAATGAAATATATAATATGGAGTATTATACCTTAACATTAGAATCTAAAATAAAAAAGATACACACTGTTTTTCCACATAAAGATGTTTATGGATAAATTATTTTTAAAATGGAAAAACATAACCCTAGCCAGTTTGCTCAATGGTTAGAGCATTAGCCTGTGGACTGAAGGATCGAGGGTTCGATTCCTGGCCCAGGTTGGAGTCACATGGGAGGCAACCAGTTGATGTGTCTCTTGCATAGCGATGTTTCTTCCCCGCCACCCCCTTCCACTCTCTTTAAAAAAAAAAAAAAAAAATTATTGGAAAAAGATCCTCAGTGAGGATTGGCAAAATAAATAAATAAATAATAAAGCTGAAAACCATCAATAATCTAAATGGCCAATATGAAAGAATGATTCCAGAAATGATCATATATAAATATTATGGAATATTGTACAGTTATTAAAAATTATGTTCATGAGGAGTTTCAAGGCAATGACTAAATAATAATGACAATATGAAATAATTATGAAATTATCCAATGGCTCATTAAAAATGCATATAAAGCCCTGGCCAGTTTGGCTCAGTGGTTAGAGTGTCGGCTTCGGTTCCTGCTAAGAGCGCGTACCTTGGTTGCAGTCTGTCCCCGGCCCTGGCTGGTTGTGCGGATGACAGCCACTTGATGTGTCCCTTTCACGTAGATGTTTCTCTCTCTTTCTCTCTGTTCCTCTCTCTCCCTCCCACTCTACCTGAACAAAAAATGGGAGAATGTCCTCGGGTGAGGATAAAAAAAAAAGAATGCACATAAAAAGGCTGGGAGAAATATGCTAAAGGTTAGGAGTGAGCATGACCATGTCCCTAGTTCCTGAAGGACAGGTACCAAAAACTTACTAAATTTCTTCATGAAGGGAATTATGGGATTATTTTGTTCCTTACACATCACATCTTAATTTCAAATAAAAATGTTATATAAAAATATGTGTTTAAAGGGAGCAAACCTGAACTGCCATGGTAACAATAAAGTATCTCTAAAAAGTATCTCTCCAGCCTTACCTCGCACATTCCCTGCCTGGGGGGTCTGGTTCTGCCTTCTCTTTGAACTACAGCTAGGGTATATTTACTAAGCAGCTCCCCAAAGACCAGCCCCTGTTATAAAGGCATGCTTCTAGGGTGCCATGCCTTTATCAGCCTGGCCCTGCTTTCACCCCAACTGGGTAGACCCCAGGTAAGTTTAGGTAGAAGATTCCCCATACTGACCCAGTCCTGACCTTGCAGGAAGACCTCAGGCCCAGGTGTAAGGTACTAATGGGGACCCTGGAGGGATCAGTTGCCAACTGCTTCCTTGAAACTCTCCTCATACCAACCCAGGGGCCCTGAGCAATGACTTTAGGAAGAAGTAAGAAAGGAATGGGAAGAGGCAGTATAAGCAGAGGTGAGGGCAGCCATGGCCATGGCCTACTGTCTCTGGGCACAGCTTCCCCAAATGGAAGGTGAGGCTTGGGCCTGGACACTCCCCAGAGCCTTAGCTCAAACACACTGGGATTCTACCAACCAGTCATCACCTTGGGCTTAATGAGACTATATAGCCTGTTCTATAGGCCCTGCCAACAAGACACCAGAGGGAGGCTTTAGTGTGTACTCAGGTCACAGCCTGCCTGACAACCATCTACTCTTAGAACTAGCCTAGTCTTTTAGGCCACTGAGCTCACAGGGTAGACTGTCCAAGCCTGGCTGCTTAATGACATCCCATTCATTCTTATTAGTTTTCAAATGATCCAGACTACCTATTTACTTCTTATATTAGTAGGATATAAAGTCTCAATTAGAAAAGGGCCAGGTGGTCAGATGGTCCTGGCCATCCCTCCACTCAGCACATAACAGGTCCCTATGGCAGGGAAGGGCTGGGATCACCAGCTGACCCTCCCCAGTCAGTAGCCTCTCCACGATCCTCCCTCTGTTCTCTGAGCCCCACTACTTCCAAGCCTGGAGAAATCTAAAGAACTCCATCTTCAAAACCAGAGTGGAATCTCCCAGATTTAAAATTTCTGAATGTGTACAAGACTACAAAGTATATCTTTCCTTAGTTATCCAAATGATTATGAAAATAAACTACAAACCCAATATTTGCCATTCAAGTTCTAGGGACTTTTTACCAACATCAAGAAGAAAGCATCTATAATAAGCATGCTTGATGTTCAGCTCTGGCAAAATAGCCAGTCTGCTAAGGAAAGATTTTATACAACAATGAAGGGTAGGGCCAAGCACAGGGAAAGGGCCTGTGGTTCAAATGGGAAAAGTAGAGAAGAAAAGAGAAGGTGGGTGGATGCAGAAGAACAGGAAGGAAAGGGAGCACACAGGAAGAAGGTTGCAGTTGTGAGACAGGCAGACTAGAAGGCAGCCAATGTCAAGTTAGGCTGCTTTGTGGACACATGGTGAGGCTCTGGGGAGAAGGCAGGAATGGTGGCAGAGATGGGACTCCTTCACTTATAGTAATAGCCTAGTAACCAATGATGCTGGAAGAAGCAGGGATCACAAGAAACAAAACCGACTGAGAGAAAGGCAAGAGACTAAATTAGATCCATGTCTAAGAGTTCAGAGAAAGTAGAAGGACAGGAGCAAATAGCACACTGGTTACAGAACAGGGAGCTGGAACATGGAGTGGGTGCCAAAGGCTGGGGAGGCAAGTGGGGTACAAGGCTCCAGGAATGCCAAGCCAGAAGTGCGAGGACTGAGGGGAGCCTGTGTGCTTGGTGTAAAGCAGTTTCAGGGGGGTGGAAGAAACTGGGATCATAAACTGGAGTTAGTATAGAACAAATTTCTTGAGGGGTGAGGAGATGAAAGGATGGAGAAAGAGCAGACACTAAATCAAGAAGATAGTTAAGATCACTGGAAAGCTGGTTTTAGGAGGAAGTCAGAGCCTGTCTGAAGGCAGAAGTATGTAAAACAGGAGCTGGAACCATGGGGAGCAGATACTGGAGGCACAAACTCCAGAAAAGATACTGGGTGAAGGGAACTGGTGCAACATGAAGCAAAGGGATTTGAGACAAACAGGAGGTACATACTGGAGGGTACCAGGTATAAAGCCTGGAACACAGGTGTCCAGAGGGTTAGAGACACAGATGCAAGCCCAGGCAGAAAAGCAAAGTGAAGATCTAGATAGGAACACCCAGACACACACCTCCACTCCTTTCCTGGGTTGATAACAACAGACTTGGAAAGCTCAGGACCCTCAGAATGTTACAAGACCAACACAAAGTTGGGACTCTACTCAGGAACCTGAGGCTATGGTCCCCATCTTATTACCCGCCTCTGTGCATCTACTGGTGGCCTATACTAAAAGTTTCCTTGGAAGTAGAGAGATAAGCCCAACAGCACACATATCATCTTGAGAATAATCTGATAAGAAGTGAAGTGTTCAATACTCACAGGAACAATAAGCCCTTGCCAAGTCAATAAATTAGCTTCATCAACCTGGATGTTACGGAAGTTTTTCATTCCACATTTGCGGATTTCTTCAAGCTCCTGTTGATTGACAAAGCATAAAGGGGTGTCAAATAGGGGAAAGCACCACATTTTAAAATCCCTCCTAACTCCCTCAAATTAAAAACTGAGTGTCAACACCACTGATGATAAAATTTCAGAGTGTGGACTATATCATGCCTGTTCCGGTTAAGTGGCCCAGAGCCATGGTGGTCCCCTCAACTCATGGCCCAGACTAAGACAAGCCCCCACCTTGGTGAACCCATGGTACTCAATGGGGTAAATAACTGTGCTCCTGTGAAAGCACAGCCTCCTCTTTGGGCTATCATCACGCACCAGGAGCACAAGAAAGGTACTACAGACCTGACTTCTTCCAACCAAGATTTATTAAGCAATGACTATGTGTCAGACGGCGAGGATATAAAGATGAATGAAGTGGGATCAGGAGAACACACATACCCACAAAGTTTTCTACCCAACGCTGTAAGTGCGATTTCAGGACTCCACCTCAGCATAGGCACACAGCGAAGAGAACAACTATCCAGTCTGGGATGGGAGGGGGACAGAAAACCTTCACTGAGCCTCGGTTTCCTCAGCTGCAAAAGAGGGATAGCAAGACCCAGAGCTGTAGACAACGAAGGGGAAACTACGTTGTAAGCAACAGAACCCCTTGCAAATGTAAGGGATTATTATTATACAGTCAACACAACAAATACCATTTCATCCAGAAAGCATGACCACCCCGATTACTTCAAGGCCCTGCCTAAGATGTGTTTAGCCTAGAATTGTCTATCAGTTGTTTTTCAACTGTGTACCAGTCTGATATTTTCTGCTGTTTCCCCAACAACTCAAGTAAACATTCACACAATAGGTGTTATAGGCCAACATCCTCCATTCTCAAATACCTGGAGTGACATGCTGCCCTCCCCTCCATACCCAAATCCCCAGTCTGGCCTCTCATCCATGGCATAACGGCCTCCTCCACATCTTTTGAGTGAGTACCTTCTCTTCTGCAACCCTGGAGCACCACCCAGCTGAGCCCTGCCTCAGCTTATTCACTAGCCTGGCTTCCTCCTTGGTGGTCCAGCCCATGAACCCCTCCAGACCTAGGGGACTCCTCGTTTGATGTTCTGGGGCTTACAATGGCATGGAGGCTCTGAATCAGCCCCCACATCAAGCCCAAAAGATCTCTGTACCCCCTACTCTGGTCACACAGTTGACAGTTTACAAGGCACCCTGGGAATACAATTCCCAAGGAAGGGGAACTGGGCCAGTGCTACAAGTTCTAGGTTGGAGGATGTGCTGCAGTATGCCTGTCATGGAGTGGGCTGAGAAAGACAGCATGTTGAATAATGGTGCAAGAGGCAGTTGGGACACACTGACACTTCATTCACATCAGGTGACAGGCCCAAGTTTCTTCCCACAGGATCCTGCTGGTTGTCAACCTTAGCTATCCACTGCAATTGTCTAGGTCTGGTGCCCAGCCTGGGAAATTCTGGTCCACCAAGTGTGAAGTGGTGAAATTTGAAACAGGGATTTAAAAAAGCTAAAGTGAGATGACAGTCACTGCCACTGAGAGATTGAACTCCATTTCTAAGCAATGTTCAGCTTCAATGAGGGAAGACACTAGCAGCAATGGTTGTGACCCTGGCAGTAGGGGAAGGGGTGGCCTGGCCTCTTTTCCTGAACCCGCAGAAGGAAAAGTATGGAACTTGAGAGGCCACTGGTCCTCTACTAATGCCTAGGACCAATCAGAAATGTTTATCTGGGAATTATGCAGTCTAGGCAGATTCAGGAAGGGGAAAAGGTCTCATACCCACACTATCACCTTGGCCCCTACTCCTCTCCCAAAAAGAATGTGAGCTCCATGAGAGCAGGTGTGAGGGTAGGAACAAGAAACCTCAGAAGCTTACAGTCATACTTTGCCAAACACTTGCTTAATGATCAAGTTAGTAAACAGATGGGAAGCTGGGGGTTGGGAATGAAAAAAGGGCTCTGGAATGGGAAGGGATCTCTATGTATTTTGATTTTCTGGTGCTTGAATCAAGATACTAGAGTTAAGATTCCTGGCTAGAGACACAAGGTATCATGTCCTTAAGGGCCAAGTCCTACCAAGCTATCAAAAATGCAGATGGGGAGCCCGGCCAGTGTGGCTCAGTGGTTGAGCATCAACCCATGCATCAAGAGGTCCCTGTTTTGATTCCTGGTCAGGGCACATGCCCAGGTTGTGGGTCCAGTCCCCAGTGGGGGGCATGCATCGATGTTTTCTCTCATCAATGTTTCTATCTCTCTCCTCTCCCTTCCTCTCTAATATCAATAAAGAAAAAAAAATGCAGATGAGGAAAATATTCCATATAGAACTTTGAAATTAGACAAAAAAGAAGAAACAGTCCTGGCTGATTTGGCTCTGTGGTTAGAGCGTCAGCTCACAGACCAAAGGGTCGAGGGTTTGATTCCTGGTCAAGGGCACATACCTGGGCTGCAGGTTTGATCCCCAGCCCTGGTCGGGGTCATGTGGGAGGCAACCAATTGATTTGTCTCTCTCACACTGAAGTTTTTCTTTCTCCCTCTCTCTCTCTCCACCTCCCCCACTCTCCCTTCCATTCTATCTAAAAAATCAATGGAAAAGTATCCTTGAGTGAGGATTAACAAAAAAAAAAAAGAAGAAGAAGAAATAACAGGAAAATTTGTTCAATATCCAAGGCATAAAATACATTTCTAAATAATATGAAGCTATATTTTATGGCTTCAGAAATCCACATACTAACAACATGAAGTATGGGTGATAAATACAAGAAGGTAAATTTCAAAAAAAATTACAAAACACAGCAAGATGGGATCAACTGTAATATAGCAGTGAAAGAATGCATCTTATGGGGGAAAAATGAAGGAAAATAAAACAAGACAAAAAAGAAAAACTGCATCTTGCTCAAGAGAAAGGGAGGAACGAGTGGGCACTGTGCACAGGGGTGTAGGAAGGGTACCTATTGGTGCCTTGATAGCAAGAAATACATGAATAAAGGCAAAAGCCATACTGTGGGAGGAGGAAGCCACAAACCTCCTGGCCAAAGAAGGGGCAGCACTAATGGTGGCAGGGCTGGGAAGCTCAGGGAATCAAAAGTGCAGCAATCAGATAAATGTTCAATTTACCTAGCTGTCAAGCTAACCTCACCAAAGATAGAAGAGGCAACATCCTTTGCGTAATTCTAACCAACAAGGAAGAACTAATTATAAGGCAGAAGTGAAAGAAACCAACACAAAAAAAACAAGCAAACAAGCCGGTAATTTCCAGGGAACAGTGGGCAGCCTCCTAGGACAGTGTTTCTCAACAGGATGGTGCCAGCATCCAGCAAGACTCAGCACTTGAGCATCCCCAGCCCCACCCATTAGATGCCAGGCATTGTGATACCACCCCACCCCAATTTCCCAATGTTCTCAAGAGCCCAGCTGCTGAGAACCATTGGCACTATCAGGGGCCAGGATGCTAAAAGTCCTGCATTGCACAAGATGGTCTTACAGACAAGAACTATTCAACCCAAAACGCCAATCACACCTCCACTGAAGAGAACAACTTAGAGAAGATGGATTCAAGTCATTCAGAAAAAAGACAGGTTCATTTGAAGATATGAAATTTAAAAAGGCAAGATGACTCAAGAGGACTGACAAACCCTCAAGTAAAATTGCACCCCTGTAAATGAAAATGATCCTGAGAATGAAGAACTGGGGAAGGAATGTAAAGAAAGCAATGTAAACTCAAATTCAAAGTTCAAATTTCAATCAACAGATGAAAAGACCCAACAAAGAAAAAGTGTGAGAGGCCCTGCTCTAGAAGAACAAAGTTAAGAAGATCATAGCCAAGAATGACGGAAACGCCCTGGCTGGTTTGGCTCAGCAGTTAGAGCGTCGGCCTGCGGTCCAGAGAGACCCGGGTTCAGTTCCCGCTAAGGGCATGTACCTCAGTTGCAGTTTGTCCCCGGCCCCGTGTGGGTGGCAACCACTTGATGTGTCCCTTTCACATCAATGTTTCTCTCTCTCTCTCTCCCTCCCACTCTATCTGAACAAAATATGAAGAAATGTCCTCGGGTTAGGATTTAAAAAAAAAAAAGAATGACAGAAACTACAAAATATGCCCCACAAAGTTTTGTTTCAATTCTGCTCAGAGGAAGCAGCAGTCCCCAGTCAGCTGCTCCGGGCTGATGGTGCAATGCTGACAAATCGAGAAGAGCTCAAAGGAAAGCAGAACCCGCTAACTCAAACTTATCTTCTCCCAGTGGGAAAAAGCAGGCTTCTCCGCCAGGGTAAGTGATGAGGGAGAAAGAGCAATGCTTCTCACAATCAGGTCCATTTCTGAGCCCACACGTGGATCTCAATGTATTGCAGGACGTGAAAGAACCTGGGTGTGTTTCTCAGCTCTTCAAAGGGGGAAGACCTCATTCCCCAAACTGCAACTCAGAGAGCTTGATGTCCACTCCTGGCCAAAGTGTAGCATGCAGCAGAAACAGACCACTGCCTAACAGGTCTGCAGGCACTAACAGGGAGATGGCCCTGGCCCCAGCAGGAGTGCACTGCTCCAAATCCTGCACAGAAGACTCTGCACAACCAGTGAGAGGACAGGATACAGTTGTACACAGTGAGCATTCTATTCCACAACTCAGACATGTGCATCAAAGTTTGGGCCAAGTATTTAACATTATCTTTTTTTTTCCCTTTGGAGGTCTATGATGGGACCTGGAAAACTGACTGCCCAAAATTACCCAGAGTAATCCTCACACATAGCTTGGCTGAGAACCCCTGAGGAGCCAGTGATTCTTTTCTTTTTAAATGTTTTTATTGATTTTTTTTATCCTCACCTGAAGACACTTTTTGCATTCATAGAGCAAGATGAAGGAAGAGAGAGAGAAAAACATCGATGTGAGAGAGACACATCAACTGGCTGCCACCCACATGACCCCAACCCGGGGCCAGGGACAAACCACAACTGAGGTACGTGCCCTTAGCAGGAACCAAACCCAGGTCTCTATGAACCGCCGGCTGACGCTCTAACCGCTGAACCAAACCAGTCAGGGCATCAGGGATTCTTAACTAGCTTGTGGTCACAGTCCTCTTTAAGAAATACAGACACATAGAGGGAAAATCAGCTGTACAAGTCAGGGCTGCTTCAGATGTCAGTCACATCAATGCTCTGGACCAGCAAGTTTCAAGGTGGGGGGTGCTTATAGTTTTCAAAAGCATATTCCTTATCATCCTATAATTTTTATTAGCAAAGTAGAAAAAGGTGTGTCATGCCCCTAAAGAACTATAGGACGCTGAATGCATCTTCTTGGCCTTTGAGGCTATGTTGGGAGACAGAAGCTCTGTTCTAGGAGCCTGCATGTCTGAGCATAGGAGGCACAGCAGGCAACAGCAGAGGGTAACAGCTTCATGGAAGAGAGGCTCTGAGACGGGCCTTGGATGGGGAAAGCCGAACTTCTAGAGAGAAAAGAACAGGTGTTTGTGTGTAAAAAAAAAATGTACTCAAAGACATAGAAGAAATCACGTGGGCAAGTGTTAGGGCAACACTGGAAACCAGCTGGAAGATTATTAACTTTGGGGACTCCACCAGGGTATGTGCCCCAGCCTCTAGGGAAATTGTTCAACACCAATGAGGGGTGAGGGTGGGTCAGGGGCAAAGGGAGTAGAG